TTTGAAGTTTGGAGGGTCAAAGTTGAAGGTTCAGGTCCCTTCTGGGGCCCTTGACCAGTACACAGGTGAACTTCTTGACGAGAAGAAGCTTGGTGAAGGGATGAAATTAGAGATGGAAGAACTTGACCATTTTCAGGTGTGTCAGGTGGTTTCTGAGAAAGAGGCCGTGCGCTTAGTGCGTGAAGCGAAGAGGCGAGTTCTGAGCACTCGCTGGGTTCTTCACTACAAGGACGGGCATAAACGTGTGAGGTGCCGTCTTGTTGTACGTGATTTTAAGGGGCCCACTTCAGCACTGAATGACGGGATTTATTCCCCGACTACTACGTTGGAATCAGTAAGATGTCTTCTAGGTATGTATGCCTATTTTGGTGGCAAGGTTGTCGCCGGGGACATCAGCGTGGCCTTTATGCAAGCGCGGTTGTTTTCGACTGAGGTTGTGAAGTTGCCCGAAAACTGCAAAACGGTTGCAGGAGAAAGGGTGCATTGCCTGTTGAAAAGGGCAATGAACGGCCTTCGTATAGGCCCGCTTGCTTGGTTTCGTGAACTGGGGGAAACCCTCCGCAAACTCGGTTTCCAGGTTACAGCAGACAGCACCGTCTACAGGAAAGTGATCCGTGAGAAAGGGGTCGATGCCATCGTGTTGGTGTTAGCCTATGTCGATGACATTTTGGTGTTTAGTACGGTTGCTACTGTTGCTGAGAAGGTTTTCGCTGACTTGAGCAAGGTGTTTAAAATGAAGAGAACTGGGACTTTGGAGCCCAAGACAAAGTCAGTGATCTCCTTTCTGGGGAGAAACATCTACCAAAAGAGCGATGGTAGCTTGTTTTTCGGCTTGAAACCTGGGATGCTCAAGGCGTGCGCCGATGAGTATCAGATTTCGAAAGCGGCGAAGCTTCCGAAACTTGAGAGGTTATGGACCTCTCTGGAGGGTAAAGCCGTAGCCATATCCCATGAAGCGTACCAGCGGTACCGCCGGGTGTTGGGCAAGTTGTCTTGGATGGCCTTGACGCGGCCAGACTTGCAGTTTGCTGTAGGCTTCTTGGCGAGATCCCAAGCGAACCCAGATTCGAGGAGTGAGGACTGTATGAGAGCTGTGCTCCGTTTTGTCTTATCACTCGGGGACAGGGTACAGAAAATCCCTGCTATCTGGGTCGACTATGTGGCCGCCTCAAATCTCCAGACTATAGACTGTTTCTGCGATGCTTCGTGGAATCTTCCGTCAGTAAGCGGAGGTATCATCAGCTGGCAGATGAACCTCATCAAGAGCTTCTCGAGGAAACAGTCAGTTGTGGCGCTTTCCAGCGCCGAAGCAGAGCTTTCAGCTCTGGTGGAGAC